CGGACATCACAAGCATTATCGACCGGCTACACTCGCGACTGTGATCTATTTCTTTTAATCGTTCGCAGTCGGATTTTTTCTTGGCCGAAGATGTCCGATACAATTTACGTTGTGAACACTGCATTATGATCTATGGTGTTTCTAATAAGTTTGACAATGACGACTTTTCCGTCGGAAAATGAATTGCATGATAACAACAATATATTGAGAAAGTGTGGCGTGCTAGTTTTAACCTAAAAATGTTGACAGACATAATTAGAAGTAATTAATAAGTGTATTTACCTTTAATGGTGTCTGACGAGGAAAATAACGAAAATGATAAACTATCGTGCACTATTAGCGTTACTAATTAATTATGAACTGATCCTTGATTAATGATTAAGAGAAAGACGTTGTAGAAAGAATTAATACTATTGGGAAATGGCAAGATTTATGCTCTACACTGTTTGATGTTTTCCCGACAGAAAAAGGTAACTGAAAATCTCTCATTTTCTCTTCTATTTCTAAGGATACAAATTAATAACTGCCTAGAACACAGAAAATAATTTTTAATAGAAAGAGGTTTCATACATATGTACAATATAAATTGTATTTTGTTTCCTATTAATAGTAATACTCAGATAACAGCGAAGAAGTTAATAGAAATTTCATTGTTCTACTAAAATGACGGACCTCAAAGAGAAAAGTGTACCTGAACATTTTGTTTAACTTAAGGCCTTTCAAAATTCCCCAAATTGTTCTACGATCTTTTGTAATACCTATTCTAACAAACGTTTTTTTTGTTACAGGTAAGCATATTTTTGGTAAGAAAAGTACTTCAAGTAAGATTAGATAAGTTAACTTTTTACTATTCTACCTGATTAATAAATTCTTCGCTAATACCCGTGATATTTTCGGTTTTAATTAAATATATACTACAATGCAAATGCAAATATTTGTAATAATTATACTTGGTTCCATTTTCGTTGTTATTATTATTACGTAAACAATGCCTGCAGTACCTACCTATTCTTCGTTTTATAATCTTATTAGTAAAAGATACTCTTGTTTTGCTTGAGGATTCATTATTATTCCTTCTTAGACGTATTACACTGGCAGGTTCCATTATAATTATACGAAAAATGATACCTGTCAGTACTTTCTCGAAACTTTTCGCGTAGCTGTTACCTTGAATCTTTATTATTTTTTTTAACCGACTTCAGCTTCTCAGTTCGATTGTACTTTATATAGAAATATCACGCGATATCTTCACCGAGTGTGAACCAATTTTAATGATTATTTTTTTATTGGACAAGACATGTCTCAAGACTAGTCTCGTATAAATTTGAAGAAAGTATTACACCTATAAATGCGGAAAGTTAAAAGATTATTCCCTTCTTAACTTTTTTGTTCAAGTTATTACGCCAAAACAGTCAATTCAAAGCAGGGGTGGATCCTGAAACAATTATAAGAACAACGAATTAATTTTTCTCTCATTGTAGCTTCTGTAGTTTGAATTAACGCGCATTTTTTGAAACTCAGTACTTCCAGATATTGAGTAACTCGAGCTGAGTGGCGTTTTTACATGTTTTCTCCGTTAAAAATTATTACAGCTGTTTTTTCATATGCAACATTGTTTTACGTACTTATGTACTAATCCGTATGTCATATAGAGCTTATGGGAGAGAAAATTTCCCCATTTACCTCCTCTGAATACGCCTCGGCTTAAAGTATTGAAAATCATTGCTCTCGCGTATGTTTCAAAGCTTGGTTTCCGATGAAATGTACCATTTTTGAATTTTTTAAGAGTTCCGTGAAACTGATTAGTACAAGTAGTAGAAGCCGTTAGTTACATCATACGTCATTTTATAAACATTTATGGGTTATGAATTATTATAGATACATCATTTACTTTCTCTACCGATGTGCCCCTTCCAATGTCTTGGATGCGCGCTGGCAAAATCGCAGATAGGGAGAAAAAAGCTCATTATGCTCTCGACTCTTGTTCATTAAACATACTTTTTCATACAGTACCTGCCAAAAGTTTTGTTCAATCATGAAGACTAGTGCGAGTCAAAAACAAACGTTAAAGCCTTTAATGTATCTTCAAATATAAATAAACATCTCGTTGATATTTTCAATTGTAAATGGTACCAATAACAGCACATTTGAGCAATGAAATTGTCGTGGATAAAATGGTCAATTTTTCCGTGCAGTACTGTACGGATTATACGCTCCTCACCGGTTAAGAGAGTTGTCTCCTTCCTTTTCTGGCCTAGTGCTGTTCTTTTCTACTTTGCGCCGATCAAACTGAAGGGCACATCGCTACAGAAAGTATACGAAGTATAATAATTTAATATTGATTCCAATATATCCATATGTGTCGTATTTTATTTAATTAGTCCATTAATTAATCATTATTAATTTCCATGTCGCTAACGGTAGCATTTCTACCCGTTCGTGGTTCGTAACACAAATTTTCATATTTGGCATACAGGAAAATCAACCCAAACGCGAGTCAATTCTCTTAGCTGTAGGTTGGTACCTGCTCGTTATTGAATTAGAGCTAAATGGGGGATGTGTACATTTAATTTGCTCTTCTCGTTGCCGATAACGTGAGAACAACCCTCTGGAGCCGTGTTTAACAAGTAATGTTTGTCGAGTTTCCAACCCGCGGCTAAGAAGCCCAAGCAAATACACCCCCATATAATAAGAGTGAGAGCGTATAACCGACCGTAGTTAGTTTATACTAGCAGTCAGCCATAGATTCCCGCAGATAACGTAGTTTGCTTTCTGCGGATCTGGACACTATATCAAATTACCCTTCTGCCATGAAAGTTTCTTGAGCGGTTGCTAAATTAATTAAATTCCTCGGATGTTTTGGGATGCGATTCGTTTAAACTTAAGCAAGTAAAAAAAAAACGGCTTTTCAAATAAAACTGATGGTGTTTTATACAAGTAGAAAGGTCCCTTTTTGTCACGCGAAAACAGATCGTAATTAAGATAAAAGATCCCTCTTCTGGATGCAGTAGACGAAATGCCAATGTCTTCTACACCAACCTGAACTTAAACAATTAAAAAAAAAACTGAGTCCAGAAGGAAAACGTCGCTTTGTTCTAAAAGATTTTCATCGGAAATTTTTTGAAAGTACAATTACAACGACCATTAATATTATTAACCCTTATTATTTAGTTACGCCGCAGATTAAATAAATATGAAATTGGAAATAGTAAATGTGAATTTTTGTAGTTTAATGGATGTGGCGGGCTAGTAATACAACATTTACAAGGTTTAGAACCTTTTTTGTAAACCTATTTCTCTGACATTTTTGTACTCAAATGTTTTTTCAAAGTATAATTAACATCCGAGATGTATTTTCATACAAATATCTTTTTACAATTAGATAAGACTAAGACTCGAAGCCGCCCCCCACCCCTGAAGAATAACCCTTTATAAGCATGTTAGAAATACTCTAGTTAGACCCAACCATTACTAGATGGCGACATACTGCCACAACTATGGCTATTATACAATCAAATAAACTTTATGTGAAAATATTTGCGTGCTTAGCTCATTTTATTAGATAATGGTGATTATTTGTGCCTCCTTCTTCATGGACTATTTGTCTATTCGTAACTTTTGAAAATGGTCCGACAGTTTAGATGTCTTTTATGCAGTTAATAAATAGGTGCGATGTATGTATATCGAAACAACAATGTGGTTTTGGGTTTTTGTCGTGTTGTCGGTGTGTTCGCAGTTTGCCCAGTTGCTGGTTGTTTAGGTTCAATGCAGTGAGATTAACGTTCCCTTGGGAAGTAGGTAGCCGTTTGCTACCGTTCTATCGAAACAATTTCAAAACACGGGATGTGCACCATTACTGACACAGTTTTCGTCCCCGTAATTCGATTAACTCCGTCTACTTTGATTAATAGACTACAGTTTGCAACACTGGCACAAATGCTAGTTATACCGCAATGGAAACTGTCGAAAATTTGAATAGTTGGCTTCAACTTTATATAAATTTCATTTTAATTAGATTAGAACTGATATACACTTATTACCGAGTTCGCAATGGGACCAGCACATAATCAAACCCAACTGTCAATTAAAAGAAACATTTTATTGTCTAGTAGATTGTATTTTTGTTGCTAAAATAGTGTTAAAAAGAGATAGATTTACACTATGCCTATTCTCAAAATTAGTGGAAATTCCAAAAGTAACATTGGAAATTGTATTTACTTAAAACTATAATCATGTTGCACTTATTATTTTAAACTGGGTGATATTCGTTTAGCTGTAAACAAATCTTTTAAAAATTCTTCGTCAGTTATCTATCGAAACTGTTAGAGGACTTTTAGGATAAATTTATTTTTTTTACTAACTAACGACCTGTAATAGATTGGTATACTGAAGATCAAATGTCTCTTAGAATCGTAATAGTTGGCTTTGATTTTGTTCGAACATAAATTAATTAGTTATTTATAAAGATACCTTTGAACAAAGGTTCAACATATTTGATAATTGCTATCGCGTTCTGAGTTGCTTTTTAGGTTTTTCCCAATTTTCTCTTTGTCTGACATATAAAAATTAGTTGTAGAGATAATAACCTGCATACCTACATTATATTAAAACATTGATTAAATCTGTATATGAGTACCTCTTTTTTGACTTCATGGAAATCAAAAAAATTAATTGTTTACAATTATTTAAAGATTTAATTGATAATAATTTCAATGATAAGATGTCTATTGTTTTCATTATTTGGAATGAAAATCAAAGGAATGTTCTAAACAAAAATTTAATTAATGAAAACACTTTGCTAAGTTTCATTGTTTTTTTTATTGTCAATAGGTAATTGTTTCGGTTAAACAGGTCATTATCTGAGTTAAACAATTGGCTTAACATTTAAACATAAATATTTTTTGTATTTAAAACGGTTAAAATTCTGCAAAAGTGCCTTATACTTATTAAATTGGTAGAAGTGTAATCAAAGAAGTGCAATTTTAAATAAAAATTTAGGGGTCAGTTATTGTTTGTTTATTCTTCAACGGATATTAAATTCACATAGATGAATAACATTTTATAGTCCTTTGATGTTAGTTCGATCGTTGCTGGCAATGCTTAGCCTCGTGAAAATGGACGCTGACTATTAGTCGATAGGTAATATGATCCAGATGCGCTAAAGTAGAACATAAAACATTGAAAATTTACCCAATGGAAAAAACACCACGTTTTAATTAGATACTAAACATTTTCGTNGTTTATTTAATCGTAAGGCTGATTGTTTTCTTTTTAAGTTAATTCAACGAGCTATTCCACAAACTACACGGAGAAAATAAAAAACGAAAATTTACTTAAATATTAAAGCGATATTTACAATTTATCCCACCAGCCGGATGCTTCGTAAGCGAAAATGATAAAAATTACAATTTGGACCCGAATTTGTAAAAGTAAAATCCCAGCAGAAATAAATTTACTAGCTATTTTAGTTGATATTACTTTGATTGTAATAATTAAGAAACTTGAAATAATTTTTAAGAAACATGGCAAATTGAAATTATAAGTTACCTAATAAATTCTACTATTTCTACGGCAAATTCAATCATTTACGATTAGTTTTCTCCGTGTAGGCATGAGCAAGATATACAAATGGATTAAACGAGATTAAATATGATTGAATTTAGAATTTTACCACGGCGCATTCAAGTAAAGGGATGCGGCACTTCTCTAACCGTTTGAAATGAGTTTATATAGTGTTTACCTTTTATCTAAATTGACACCCCCAAGATGAGCTTTAGCATTTCCATCGCATAGCCCAGCTGAAAATGATTCGTAACTATCACACTTTACTGCTGTAAACCCTCCCGATGCAAGCGATTCTGCATAATATTTAGTTGCCCTGAAATGGCTGCATCTCAAATCCTGGTTGCAACCAGGTTGTTCACGCTTGTTAGTATTAGCAAAGAAATCTGCACGCCCAACACTGGTTTGTGTTCCGAAATTGCTGCTATGTATCACCTGAACATATCTTGCTACAGAAGCATCAATGTAAAAAGGCGATATTCCAGGAGGATCTAATGCGATGATGGTGTCTATATCGCCATTGAGAAGCTTTCCTGCCAAAACCAAATAAAAACATTACTGCATTATACATCGGTATCGATAAATAGCAGTTTTTGTGGAAACTGTTACCTGTTTTTCCGGCAATATGACATCCTAGACTGAATCCTACCAGAATAAAGTTATCCGAATCAACATTGTGTTGATCTTTTATTAAATCAATATACTGAGCAATGATTGGTGCTGTTTCAACTGTAGCGTCCTCGGCCCAAGTCCAACTGCTTGCAGGTCGACTGTAATCCACCAGGAATAAATTGACATCTGCCGCATTCAGCAATGGGTCCTTGATATAAAGACTCGACTTGTAGTTGTTATCAATGCCATGGAAAACGATATAATTCGGTAGCGAACTATTAAAGTTTGAACTGGATAGATCGGTTAGATCATTAGATCTTAAAGCTTGAGGGTCATCACGATTTGATCGAGTGTAAAGGTAGAATGTGATGTCATCAGTTGTCTCAATCAGTCTCTCGCAACTGATTCCTGAAAATTAAGTCACAGAAAACACTAAAAAATTATTGATATTAATGTACAATAGTAATATTAAAAGGTATTATTTTATCTACCTGGAAGGAGGTATTGTTTGACAATCGCATTTATTTAAATAAATCTACAGAAGGGGAACTTTATCACCCTTTATGGGCAATATGCAGAAAACTATAAAAAATATATTGTATTTTATGACTAAATGATATACTTACGGTTAGGTTGAATCGAAAGTATTATAACTCCTGTTAAAAGCACTGAAATATGACCAAGCATGTTGGTAATGTGTACCAAATATTGCGCAAACAGAATAAGGACAATATACCTCATGAAGCAAACTGCCAACTGTTCAAAATTTTCGTTTCATTATATAGAACGTGTGGATGCCACTTAAAAGTTTTTTTAATTTATCAGCTCCAAATTATTATCTATACTACTAGTTGAACCCGTCCAAATTTGTTGTTATGAAAAGGTAAATGCACAATATTTGGCGTTGTGTGGCCAAATCACATCTACTTCCCTTTTCGAAAGGGTACCTGTCTACAATTGCATCGTCTATTTTTTATTTATAAGCGTGACTTTAAATCTTTGCAGTGTAGTACAGTGTAGCCCAATAAGTAGTACATTTATTATGTATGTACACCTCATTTCAATTTGTTAGAATTGTGACCTTGAAGAAATCTGCGCGAAGATAGAAAGAATACACACTAGGCGTGAGCAAGACAGAAATAGTCGGAACAAGCTTGAACGAGCAGAGCTCTCGATGGGCGTGCTCAGGAGATCGGCTAGAACTGTACAGTACTAGACGAAAATGTTTAGAAATTTCTTAAAACAAAAATGTATATAAATTAACAACAGAAAACAAAGCAAAAGTTTTATAGGTGTGTAGAACGTTAAGTTAATTCACTTGTTATTATTTTTGGCTAAATATGCTTTTAAATAAAGCATATTCTTAAATTTTAACGAGGCAGTTTAAATAATTTTGC